AGAATTTTTTAATACCGTATTTTCTCATGTTGGTAAAAATAAAAAAATGCAATACTAAAAAGTTGATAAAAAATTCTGAAAAAATTCTTGGAGTTTTATGAGAAGAAAATAAATGATTTTTGTCTGTTGCAGTTTTTCTGTAAAGTTGATAGTATTTGGATAAAAAATTATTGAAAATCAATATTCAGCGATTTTTAGTAATTAATATCTTGTTAACTATTTCAAAAATTGCAAAATGGTAAGGAACTTTTCGACTCAATTTTTTATTAGAAATAGCACTGTATGATTAGTGTACGTTATTTCAGATAGCGCTCAACAATTGATACTGATCATACGTTCAACCAACATTGACTTGAACATTATTCTAATTCTCTTTTTTAAATTGTGACTATTGGTTGGATTCTTATTATATATAATATATTCCTACGATGTGCGGTTGCAGTGGCTATGTGGTGAGCAATATGTCGAAAAATTTTTTTTCCAATATTTGATTGCGTTGTCCACGGTTAATTTAATATTCTTTAGACTGAGACTGAACATTATTCTTCCACTTAGCGATGTAATTATTTGGTACAACATTGAAGATGTTGATAATGATTCTCTCGCCATATCGCTGCAATCACGTAACGGTATGCGTATTTTAAGTTATTAGTTTTAATTCCGAGCTGATGATGGCTCAAATCGGAGCCGAAACTTTCTAAATTCTCGTTATATTATCATAAATTTTGCGCAATCGTTTCCCAGCGATGACTCTTAGTGCCCTTCTAATTGTTATACTTTATTGTTTTATTTATTAAATAAAGGAGTCTTCAATTAATTCTTATTTGAATTTTAATATGAATGAAGCATGATTGTACAATACAAATATAATCATACAATAAAATACGTAATAATATAAATTCTTACGTATGTATTTGAATGTCACTTTGTCTTTGCTGTTTCTTCACGTATTATTTTGGCTAATACGGATAATCCCTGAAAAACAATAAAAAAACATCAATATTTTTTAAATTTAAAACGCTCATATATAACTGATATTTTTTATATTATTAAAATAAGAAAAAAATTCAATTGTAAAAATATTTATGTATATTTTTATCTTTATGCATATTTCTTTTTTTGCAATTTATAGGAATTATATAAAGATATATTTGTTTTATGTAGATTTTCTAATTGTGACTAAAATTAATAAATTTGCACGGTATTTTTTGCAATACATACATAAATATATGAATTTGTTACAGTATATGACAGAGACAATTAAAAGTAATAATATTCAAAATTACTTTGTCCATTTCTTCCAATGAAGCATAGCTGTAGCTGAGTCTCAAATGACAATCTTGTTTTGAAGGATCGTAGTTGAAGGCATTGCCAGGAAGAACGAGGATACCTTGCGGTATGCATTTGTTCATCACTAAATCCATTATATCATTCACAACTGTTACTTTAATCCAAAAAAACATTCCACCTTGTGGTATGTACCATTCTGCCAGACCTAACAGATAACAATTTTGTATGAGAATTTCAAAGTTACTTTTGAAATTTAAGTTAACACACATTAAAATAAATGCATTCGAAAATTGCTTATTAGATTTCTTGATTAATTTTCAACTGACCTTTTTAAAAAAAATATCAGAACTCTTTGTATAAATTAAAATTTTTTTTATTAAATCAAGCGTTAGAAAAAAATACGGTAAAACTATAGAAAATGGGCGACCTACCAATTCCAATGACTTTGACATATGTTATCAAGACCCTGAGTGATCTCTCACAAATTTTAACTGTCACTCATTATTCGTTAAAAGTTATTAATAAATAAAGTTTAAATTAAACGTATGTTTGGGGTGGTAAGAACAACTTCGCGTAGAAAGTCGAACGTTCCTAAGCAGGGGGAGGTATAGAATGGTACTGAATATTGTATAGCAGAAATAAAACGTTATTTTTGTAAGTTTTTTTGATACTAACTTTTTAACGAAGAACGAGCGACGGCTAAAATTTGTTGGAGGTCACTCAGGGTCATTGGAATTGGTGGGATCGTCCATTTTCTGAAGTTTAATAAAAAATACACAATTATAATTTTTTAGTTTCAAGTCAGTCTTTTCTCCTTTTCATAAAATTTTAAATTATGGAATAGTTATTAAAACATCCATTTGGAAACTTACAATGAGTAATAATAATTTGAGAAAAAAAACATCATATTTGAATCAATTACAAAATGGTAAAGATTAAATGATATTAGATAAAGTTGAAGAAGTAATTTTTGTCCGACGGAAAAATTTCTTGATTTTTTACTGTTATTTTATTATTTTCAGAAATCTCTAACATCTTTTAAAATTAATGTTAACATACCATTTAAATGTTTTTCAATCATAGTCAGCATCATGTCACGTCGCTTCTGATAGAACTTTTGAATTTCTTTAAAATGTTGCTCAAATTCTTGCGGTCCCCAAATCTCAAAAAGTTTATAAAGAAACATCTGTAAGAGAAATTATTGTAAATAAATTTTACATAATAATATTGAATTTGCATATATATAGACATTTAATTATTGCTATCATTAAGAATTCATTAACAATTGAAATTATTGATAATGGAAGATAATCGCGATTAAAAAAATTCCGTGAAACATAAGAGCTTGATAAATAAAATATTTACCTAAATACATTTACTCTACAATTTGTGTTTTATATAGAGATGGTTCCTTTTGCCTACAGCTCGATTACCTACATGCATTTTTGCGCACAAGTAAAAATTTCAGAACCGAAGTCACATTTGCAAAAAACTGCATACTTATAGGCAATGGAACTGTAGTCAATAATTTTTGTGCGCAAACGAACTGTCGGCAAAAGTGATGTAGGCAAACAATGCTGTAAGCCAGTGTAGGCAATCGATTTGTAAGCAAACGGGATCCTCCCTTTTATATGTCATATAGATATATGTATACGCGCGCGCGCGAATATGTGTGTGTGTGTGTGTGTGTGTGTGTGTGTAAAAGAAATTATCATGATAGTATTAATCACGATAAAGCAACAAGTCAAGTTAAAATACATTAAAAGAATATTAAAAGAAAAGAAACGAACTTTACCTGAGATAAAGATGATGCATGAAGAATAGAGGATGTAATATGAGTAACCAATCTACTTATAACATCTTTGTGCGCTGTAACAGCGCCGATGCGAAATCCAGCGCTTATAATCTTACTAAACGAATCCATTCTAATCACGCGACCATCGGAATCGAGGGAGAAAAACGACGTGGGTTGTTTATCCAGAAAATGAATGAAACAGTAAGGATCGTCCTCGATGATCAGGAAGTTGTATTTCTGCGCCAATTCATACACTTTTCTTCTTCGAATCTCTGATATGACGGCACCTGTAGGATTTGCTCCCGTCGGATTGATGTAAAGTAACTGCACAAAAATCAAATCCGTATGCATATCATTTTAATGAAAGAAGATGGTTTTAAAGCAATATGACAGTCGTTGTATATAAAATAAATAAATAACATAAATATTGTATGAATAAAAAATAAATGACTAATGAGTGGCAGATAATGATATGTACTTAAGTACATATGCAATTGCATATATATCATATTTGTAGTCCATAAAATATTTAGTCTACATTTTAATAATATTTTGAATAAAAAGTTTTATATAAAATATATGTATATAACATTTCAAAAAATGAATAGTAATAAATATTTATCATAAATATTCTGTGCATTCTATGAACTATGTTATGGGTATACATATAAGTTATTTGTATGATATATGAACTATTTGAAATTTTAATCTTCTTTTAATGGAAAGAGTATTGACATTTTTACCAAAACTTAAATTAAAAGCAAAGTAAAACATTTTTTACGAATAAAGATAAAGACCCGAAAATAAATAATTGCTTTCTTATTATTTTTTATGCAGTTTGAAAAGAGATTTAACACAATATTTTTGTGACTCACTTTTGGTATTGGTCTACCATTCTTAAGTCTTTGCTCGCATTCTTTGGAAATTTGCTCAGGAATTATCCCATCAGCATCTTGATTAATTTCTATAACATCTGGTAACAGAGGTGCTAACTATAAGTAAAAAAGAGAAAAAATTTTGAAAATTATTCTTTAAAAATCATTTATTAATATCTTTTAAGGGGATCCTAAAGTGAATCCATTTTATCAACTTTTTCAAACAAGTATTTTTCTAATTGCCTTTACAGATAAAAAATTCTTCTTCATAATTAAAATATAAAAGTAATGTGGTCCAAACCGATCGATTTTGTGTCAAAAACGAAAGAAAGGTGGAAAATTACAGTTTTGTTACGTCGACTCGTAATAATGTTTGCTTTACATATGAGTTTTATACTTCGTACGTATAAAACAATCTTGGTATGGACTAGAGATTACACGAACAGCAAATGTTGAGTACTTAGAATTAGGTTTAGATATTTAATACGAAAGATTGGTTAGGGTGCGGTCACATGAAGTGAGAAATAACGGAATGGAAAAAGAACGGAAAAGACAAATGGGGTTTTTAGTGGGGTTAACCAACCATAGTTGTAGTTACAAAATTTTATCATTCGTATCTGCAAAAGATTACCTTTTTAAAAAAAGGTAAAAAAGGGGCGCTAAGCATATACGTGCTTCTCGAACAGAACTAAGTGATACATATCTTTTTATTATTCTAACTCAAATAATAGCAATTTTAATTCTTTTTCAAAAATATTCTTATTGAAGGTCCTCTTATTTCAATTCAAGTAATGGCAGTTTTAATTCTCTGTCAAAAATTATTACTCCTCCAAAAAAAAATTAATGTACGAAATTAAAAATTAAAACTTAAGTAATACTATATAGTCTTAACTAATTTACTTAGCTTTAATTATATGTATTATTTGTATAAAAGATTTGATATCAACAACTGGCGCTAAGTTAAATTCCACAAAATTTTACGTATCATTCGTATTAAAGATATGATATCAACAATTGGCGCGAAGTTAAATCCCATACCAAATTAAATAAATAATTCAATAGTTAAAAGAAAGGCTACGAGCCAGTTACAACATAAAGAATATTTAATAAACTTTCATATATACATACAAACGTTTCGACACCGATCGGGTCATTTTCAATGTAAGATTGTTTGTTATTTTACATTGAAAATGACCCGATCGGTGTCGAAACGTTTGTATGTATGTATGAAAGTTTATTAAATATTCTTTAGGTTGTAACTGGCTCGTAGCCCTTCTTTTAACTATTGATTTATTCTGATTGAGCCATATTGATAAATAAATAATATTAATTCTGATATGTGTCATTCATACTTTTTATTCCTATTGAAGGATCTTCCTATTCCGATCCAAATGACTATTTCGTTTCAGTAATGTGATCTCAGCTGCACACTTATTTTTAAGATATGGACTATAAAAAACTCTTATATCAAGCAAATATATATCTGAGATGACAGCTGCATGAGCCAAAAGTAAGTAAATTTTTTAACTTGTTTTCGATTTTCTCATGAAATCTAGTGCACCTGAGGTCCTGTTTGTGCGTAATTTAATTCTGTGATAATAATTTTGCAATCTGTAAATCCAATTCGGAGATTTTTCACCGAATGGAAATGATGGTAAAGTAGGACGCCTTTAGCATCCCCTTAAATGTTAAAGATAATATTATATTAGAAAAGCATAAGTATTATACAAATTTTTCTTTTTTATATTAAATTCATTAAATTTATAATACGCAATCTGAAATTGCAGTATTATTTTAAATAGATCTGTGTATTTTTTTAATATTAATTAATTAATTTTATCGTTTGATATGTTATTTGATAAGAATAAGATCATTGGAAATTAAATATTTTACGAAATGTTTTATTCCAAGATATTTTATACAAGATATATTATTATTTTATCAATATTATAATATTATTTTAAAACAACATACCGCTCCGATTACCCCTGTATATGTTGGCATTTGAAGCATAACTGGATCATTCTCATCAATCAGCATTTGAAATACTTTTTCGCAAGCATCCATAGAACCACATGTAAACGTTACATCCCAATCATTTCGTTTTGGTGAATGCCATGTTTTTTGGAACTCCTTCCATTTTTCTAATAATGGCCCGTAACTTTGACAAGAGAAATGATAAGCATTTAATTCAGATATATTAAAATGTTGCTTAACTAATACAAAAAGATATATTTTTTTTTAATTAAATGATAAAAATGCTTAAGTTATGTTAACAAATAAAAAATATAAAATTTTTAATTATTTCATAAAAACATGAAAAATCATTTCCTCCTATCTTAAAATTGCCGTGTTACCTGCCCTGAAGCCTCTTTTCGTTGAAGCTGTTAGAGTACTTCGATTTTAGTGAAATGTATTCAAGGATTTTTGGGGTCGCTGATTTCGAATCCGGACTCAAAATTTGAAAATTCAAAATGGCTGAATCAATATAGCCGACGGAAATACTAAAAATCCTCCGATTTCAGCGAAATGTAGTATTAAAGGGTTTTCGGAGTCGCTGATGCCGAATCCGAAATTAAAATTTGAAGATAAAAACCGAAATTTGAAAATTCAAAATGGCTGAACCAATATGGCGGATGGAAATGCTAAAAGTCCTCCGATTTCGAATTCGAACATAAAATTAGAAAATTCAAAATGGCTGTCCAATATGAATGTCCAGAAGGAAATGTTATGTAGAGTGGGTATAAGTAAAGAGAAGCCAATGCATGTTTCTATTGTCGATTGGCTCCGCCATTTTACGATGAAACTGTTAGTTAGAAAAAGACGGGCATTAGAAAAAGAAGTTAGGACAAGGAATTACGTTATAAATATCTGTCGTAAATTTTACTCTACATGTGTTGTATAATTCTCTTTTTGGCGAGCGAGAGGCCCCGAGTTTAAGGACGATTGGAGGACGAGATTATCGGTGAAGCTGCCCTTTCGGTTCGTACAGTGTAAAGTCGCATGCAACGTGGCAGAAGGTCACTCTCGATTTCTGTCGTCGGCACGCGAGTTTAGTGTTGGTGTGGCGTCCGTCATAAGTGGCGCATTTTTGGTGTAACGAATACAGCGTATTCCGGCTTGGCCGGTGCCAAGCATGAGAGGCTCCCGAGCACGCGTGCACGGGGCATCGGGGACAGAGTCGAGTCACAGAAACGAACTTCCTGGAGATCGCGACTTTGACGAGTCGGAAGTATTTCGAGCGTGAGCTCGACGTGTCGCGAATACTTTCCGCGTGCGTGCTATCGGTTTGTGTGTGCTTTGATGCGCGAAACGTACTTATGTTACGCTTGTTGTCGATACGTAATATCGTGGTTGTGTGTTTGTCCTCGGAGTATTAAACTAGCGTGTCGCATTTGCGTGTGGGAATCTTCGAATGGATAGTAGTGTCTTCGCGCCTGTATGAGGTTCACCGGTTGCGATACCGTGCGTATTTACCGGTGTGTGCGTGCGCCGCACGTGTAAGATTTCCCTTATCCAACGGAATTTTATTCAAAAAGTCAAAGTTACAAATTCTTAATAACCATTTAATATATGTTAAAGATATAACCCCTTGTTCGAAGAAAACGCAATGTAATAAATAAAAAAAACTATTAATTTAACCCTATGAACAGTCGGAAGATAAACATTATGATAAAAGTAAATTTGTCATTTTTACAGCCAGTTCATAGTTAACTTTGAATAATCAATAAACCTGCCCAGTATATTTATACGCAATTGTTTTTTTAATACTACTTAATACTATGTTATAGGAATATAATTCAGTATTGAGCGCTTAAATAATGTTTATTTTTTTACTCTTTATAGTAATTTTAAGAATGACTTTGAAATCCGAATAATTTATGCTAAATATTGTTTTCAAGTAGACTTTTAGTTAATTATATAGCTTTATACAGGACTCAGACTAGAATCAAAATAACGGCTGATAATCCATTTATTCAATTTTGAAGAAAAACACTGCGCATAAGTGCGCCATTACAAGATTTTCGAAATAATTGTTAACTCTGTACATGGTATAGATTTTTCTATCAGCTCAATTTCGATGATACTTAGAAGATTTTTGTGGTCACTGAGATTTTCAAAATTTTTAAACTTGAATTTCAAATTTGAAATTTAAATTTGAAAATTTTAAAAATTCAAGATGGCGGATCCAATATGGCGGACAAATGTTGTTACTTTTCTTAGAATTTGACGAAACTCGATACTTAGGGGTTTTGAGATCGCAAAAATTGAATTCGAGGTTAGAAGTGACAAAATAGTGGACCGAAAACAATTGTCTCTCAGTCGTTTTCATTACTACATTACAAACATAATCGAAAGGATGTTGTAACGATGCTGTTTCTATTTTTATATTTATTTAAATTATTCATTCATTATGTAGGCATATTTTCGTTATTAGCATGTATATCAAGTATCGTTCTAGATGTTTCTTGTGCGAGCCTGTCGCAACAGAAAAATTTGGTAGCGATAGTAACTGATACGCGGATTCCTTCAGTTGCGAGGATTGACTATCTAATCGATTTTTTGTGAAAAAAGATATCTAAAAAAGGTGAATATATATAAATAAATAAATAAATAAATAAAGTAAATAAAATAAATAAATAAATAAAAGTAAATAAATCTATTTAAAAATGAACTTATTAACTTCAGCTTCATAATCAACAAAAATAGTTCTAAAAAATAACATGTAAATCCGGGAAATTCACCAAACTCTGGTTTTTAACGCCATGTTGAGTATGCCATTTTGAAAATCAACATTTTGATTGTAGATTGTAATCAGCGATCCAAAAACCTATTATACACATAGTTTCAAACAAATTGATTGGAGCGTTTGATCATCAAGAATTAAATTTCCCTAGAATTGTAAAATCTTATACTGTGTGTGCGCCGTCCGAGAAGAAACCTTACGCTTAGAAATTTTCTGTCGAGTCTCGCGACGGAATGTTCGATTCGGTGGCGTGAATGAGTGTGCACCAACTTTATAAAAATTAAAAAATTTTTGAAAATTAGAGGTGGCGATGGGGGTATACAATAAACAAATGAATAAATAAATTTTTTTTATTATAGTTATGAAGTACTCTTGCAACCATTCAACTTTTATTTAAAACATTTTTCTCTATCTCATAGTTTCGACGATATTCAATCTGAAAGAAAAAAAATCGATTTTTTTCAAGGAAGGATTTCACCCCCTTAACGTACGACTCAGCACGTATAAAAAAATACGTATTCCTATATATATATCTATCTCCTATTCCTATATATATATATATCTCCTATTTTTGTCCATAGAACAACATACTAAAAGCTCATTTATTCAATCATTTATTCAAATCAGAGATATTCACTTGGTTGTGTTCCCTTGTTAAATTGATTTCCACAAAACAAGATTCGTAACAGAAACTTCCGCAAATGACTAATATTTCAAATAACTCAAGGTTGTACCATCTGGCAATCAGGATTGACTAAGACACTGGAAATTAATACAATGGATCTTAATAGACAGTAAATTTTTAATCTCTTCAATATCTTTAATTTTAAAAAATGTCACTCGTTCAAAATTTACATTTATTTTCAACACATTGATAATGACCCGATCGGTGTTATCGATGAAATATATGTTTGTATTGTTCAAATATTAAAAGACTTGGCTCGTAGCCCTTCTATTTTATTATTAATATTTAGTATTGTTGGAACATTTCTAAGTTAAATGCCACAAAACAAACCTCGATACCTTTTTTGTTTAGCCGAAAAAAATTAATAAAGAAGTTACTTCCGAAAAAAATTGTTTTTACAATTATTTAAAAAACGGAGGGTGATGGAAAAAAACGCATAATGTAGTCGTTTTCAGTGTATCAAAATCCTACGGAAACATCTTTCAAAGTTCAAAGCACAAGACCCCCTCTAAATTTTGTCGGCCTATGCCTGAAATTTGTCTTTTATCAATATATAATTAGAGAACACAAAGTTTGTATTCATCTGCTAATATTACTTACCCTTGCGAAGATCCATATTCCAAAACTGCAGACATTTCATTCTTGTTAAGTTTTATTGGGACATCATATTTATATGTCACAGAAATATTATTGATGGGATATGTAATGGCATTTGGCATACCGGCAGCCAGAGTTATAGAGTTTTGTTGTGTTAAGTAGAGACTGGCTAATTTAAAATTAAAAAAGATAAATAGAATGGATAGTGACATTATATTAACATGTACTTTTTCATATATAATTTTACGCTATAAATGCCGCATATGTACTTATTGATTTGCATCTTTGTTAAATATAGAGTATTCCACGTAAAAGAAGTCCACCTAAAAATAAACTGTTTGGAATTTAAAATAATCATGAAAACATGTAAGTGGACATATTGTATAATGTTGAAGATAAAAAAAATAAGTATTATATATGCCTTGCACTCAAGATATTGGAGATAGTCATTTAAAGGAGTTCTCCTTTTGTTGTCATTTGTAGTTAAAACTACAAAATATATAAAAATTTTGTACATTGAATTTTTTAGGATTTTTCCTGTACTTTCAGATAAAACAGTTAATTTTAATGAGAAAAAATGAAGAGTGTGGAAAAAAACAATTTTTTAATTTTTTTTTTCTAAGTAAATAAATGAAAAATTATTATATATTCATTTTTAAAAATCTAAAAAAATTCTCAAAAATACTTCAATATATGTAGAATATAATACCACAAAGGAAATTTTGGAATCGCAATGGGCTCCACTAGGAAATAAATTTTTTTTTAAGTATAATTTGAATTTCCACCAAAAACTTGACAATATCACTTTATTAATTAATCTACTTAATACTACATAATACATTTATATAACTAATTATTTAACACTACGTAATATTTTTAATATGTAGGGTGTCTCAAAAAGGTCGGGACACCTGAATATCTCGAAAAATATAATTTTTATAGAAAAGTGTTTCAGACAAAAGTTGTAGGGTTCAAAAAGATTTATTTACTGATCTTATCAGTTCGACCTTTGATGGCGTCACCAAAGTCAAGTCAAGATCGCACCGATTTTTTTATAATGAAATACCCTACATTTGATTCCAGAATCTAATAGTCGATGTCGAGAGCTTTTCAAACACTATAAAAAAATAATTTTTCATTAAATACATTTTGAGTTATGATGCTTGAAAGTTACAGTACCGCCGGCATTAGCTTTACCCAAGATATCCGACCGACGGCTAAAACCTCTTAAATGTTGTTCAGGATCATGTCCTGGATATTATTTATCAAGATAAAAGCCATTGGAGGTTGTACCTCTTATTCTTATTTTTAAGTAAAAATGAATTTTAATGCAAAAATAAAAATAAGAGGAATAATCTCCAATGGCCTTGATCTGGACAAATATTATTCAGGACATGATCCTGAACAACATTTAAGAGGTTTTAGCCGTCGGTCGGATATCTTGGGTAAAGCTAATGCCGGCGGTACTGTAACTTTCAAGCGGCTATACTCGAAAAGTAATAAAAAATAACTTTATTGTAGTGTTTTGGAAAGCTCTCGACATCGGCTATCATATTCTGAAATTAAAAGTAGGGTGTTCTATTTAAAAAAATCGATGTGACCTTGACCTGACCTTGACGACGCCATCCAAGGTCAAACTGATAAGATCAGTAAATAGATCTTTTTAAATCCTACAACTTTTGTCTGAAACACTTTTCTGTAAAAATTATATTTTTCGAGATATTCAGGTGTCCCGACCTTTTCAGGACACCCTGCATGTTAAAAATATATTACGTAGTGTTTTGGAGTAATTAGTTATATATTAGTTATATAAATGTATTATGTAGTATTAAGTAATTAGATTAATTAATAAAGATATTATTAAGTTTTTAGTGGAAATTCAAATTTTGCTTAGGAAAAAGATTCATTTCCTAGTTGATCCTATTGCGATTCCAAAATTTCCTTTGCGGTATCATATTCTACATATATTGGAGTATTTTTGAGAATTTTTTCAGATTTTTAAAAGTGGATATAATTTTTCATTTATTTACTTAGAATTAAAAAATTAATTTTTTCCACTCATTTTTTATCATCAAAATTAATTGTTTTATCTGAAAGTACGAGAAAAATTCTAAAAAAAATTCATATGTACAAAAATTTTATATATTTTATAATTTTAATTACAAATGACAACAAAAGGAGAACTCTTTTAAACGACTATCTCCAATATTCTGGATGCAAGGCATATATAATAACTTATTTTTTATTTTCAACATTATACAATATGTCCACTTACATATTTTCATGATTATTTTAAAGATTCCAAACAGTTTATTTTTAGATGAATTCCTTTCACGTGGAATGCCCCATATTTCCAAATTTGCAGATATAATAAAAAATATATATATTATATAATAATATTTTTGAAAGATTTTTTTTTTTAAATATGTATATAAAAATAAGTTATAACGTAAGAGTACTCAAAAATTTTAAAACTGTTCTCCATATGTCTCATAATTTAACTTAAAATCGAACAAGTTAGTAAGAGATTATTTCAATTTTTAAACGCGCTAAGAAAATTATTATTAAAAGAAAAGAGCTCTTATTTTTGTCTCTGATTTTTAGCTGTTTTACATTCAAAGCTCAGAAATAAATTCACGTACCTAATATAAGAATATTTCCACATGTTTGCTTGAGAGAATGAATTTTAAATAAAGTAGTATATAACAAATAAGTATAATGACTACTTACTTAACTCTCTAATTAAGTTCCTTCTTCGCCTGTTAGTGATTTTAGAGAAGAATTTTGTGTAGTCCATGATCACTTTTATCGTGAATAATAACTGTTACAATTTTTCTTAATTTTTTGCTGAGAACTGCTGTTGTGGATATTATCTCTCGAGTGATTTGTGACGTATTATTTGTACTGTAATCAGTAACCAATGTGATAATGCTTTGTGGTACCAAGTGATACCGTGTACCAGATTTTAATGTGATTTACAAATACTCTTATGATGTTATGATAAGTACATCAAAACTTTGAAAAGCAGCTAGTAATACCATTTTTTTTTTTCAAGCAAGCGCATTAAAAACGAATAAGTAAAGTTATGTTAAAGTACGAAGGTTGTTAAAAGTATATTGTAGATCAGGCCTAGCAGAGCGTGGCTCGCGAGTCGGCCCCTCTAGCGGACGCTCCCTCCCCCCCAATAATAATAAGAATATATCTATTCTTTCTCATATTCTTTCACTACACAATGTAGATAGCAAAAAACAAAGTATTCGTTTGGCTCGATACAGACTACAGTCCACTTGATGCTAGGAATTGAAGTATTTTTTGATTGGTCGTTAGTAAAATTCTTTCTTCCGATTGGTCAATCAAAAGTTTCGAAGCATTTGTAGAGTCAAATGAACCGCACCCAGGGAGTTTGCTCTACGCTTATCGCGACAGCTGACATCAGCTGACATCATCCTTGAAACTGGTTGCAACGGGCCGAGTTGGAGGAGAAGACGTCCGTTGGAGAAGCCGGCTCGCGAGTCACGTTCTACCAGGTCTAGAGATCTTAAAAGTAGAGATCGGTCAACGCCCGGCATGAGGTTGTGAAACCGGAAATCACGTGATCTTGGAAATGTACATCAATATATCAACGCCAGAATTTTGATATTCTTGACAGCAAACTGGTATCGCTTCTCTTATGCTGGAGTCTCACGAGGCGTATTTGCCGCGTATTGCGTAACCGCGAAACCAATCAGAAGCTATCCGCTGCTGTGGTTTCATGTCCTACTGATTACTGATTGGTTATGCGATTAGGTGATATGCGGTAAATACGTCTCATGAAACTCCAGCATTACTCTCATATTCGCTTCTCTCACTCTCACATCTGGTTTCACAACGTCATGGCAAAGCCAATCACGAATCGAGTCGGCATTGGCCGATCTCTACTTTTAGGATCTCTACCCATGCCTGTACAGTCTGTACAATGTAGATACTTTGTGTTTATTCGTTTTTAAAGTTATTTAAAAATTATTATAGTGTATTATAAATTATGGAAGGTCCTAGTTTCTTTTTAATAGTACTTTTTTATATATAGCTCTTTACTTATATCTCTAAAAAAGTTGTTTAACTGAATTTAATCTTACTCACCTCATTAATCTGATGCTTAGAACTTTTTACGCCATATAACACATGTACATATATAGTACTGGATTCACCGCCGAAAAACCATGTTCTAATAAGAAATGACTTATCAAATTAATGGCGAATCGTCAATGTCTAATTCACGATTATTTCTCACTAGGATGCGACACTGCTAGCAATATACTGCTTTAAAGACGTATCTACTGTACTTGCAATTAATGAGAAGTCTGAATTTAAAGTGAAAACAGCTTATCAGTCTTTGCTGCGTGGCACGATTGCGATAATACGATTACGATAACACGGTTACGATAACCCCTTCAAAATGAAAGTGATTTTCAGAGGCATTTCTAGCGAGGAATACGAGAAAAATAGTAAAAAAATTCTCCAACCATTAGATTCCAAAATAATTAACAATCAAACGGAAAAAATGGGATGGACTTCGCGTAGAAAATCGTGCGCCCATGACCTTTTAGTGGATAATCATTCTTTATTAAAAAGTTATTAAATTGATCATAAAATTGAATTATGATTATCAAATTAAATATTGATTATAGAATTTTTTTACTATTTTTCCCGTGTTCCTTACTAAAAATACTTTCAAAAATAACTTTTATTTTGAGGGGCCACGGTTATCGTAATCGTCCCGAACTGCTGTTTACAACGTGCAAGTTTTTTGATATCTTAATAATGATATGAATGATATCTTACTGTATTCTTAATTATTTAATACGTAATTAATTTGTTTTGAAAATTAAATATTTTAAAATAGTTATAACGTTTTGATAAAAATAAAAACCAAATAGAAATTATGTAAACAAATGTACATACCATATACATAAATGTTCTTTTCTATTCAAATAAATAATTAAATGTAAAATTATTTAGCGTGAAAATTTTATAAAAATATAAAAATAATAATTACAAAAATAATAATAAATAAAAGCTATATAAAATACTTATTATCTAGTATTTATAGAACACTAATAAAAACTTAATGAAAATTTATACTTTATTGCGCCTTTATGTGATAGGATGCTGTTAAAGAGAAAGTAGAAATTTTGAAATATAGTCGTAACATTTATTCCAATTTATTAACATCTTGTACGTGTATGTGTATGTATGTATACTTGTGTGGGGTAACCACATGTATCTGTATAAGCGTGTATGTCACTGTTTCCATCGATTTTATTGTTTGTTATTTTTTTCTTTTAACATTTCGGATAACATTTTGAATAACTTATTGTATTATGTTGCCTGATAAACGCTCCATTCGATATCGATCGATCGATCATATGCGCGCGGCGCTGATCGGCAGTCAGTTGGATTTTCGATCGATCTCGAGTAAAAAAAGAGCTATCGACGTCGAATAGAACGTTCGGCTTTCGGGTTTCGTTTCAGCGACCGACAGAACGGGGCTTGTACGTTGTTTGTCGAATATAAATTCATCTCATTATGTTGACTCTATCCTTTCCTTAATTGTTCTTTCGTAATCGGCTTGTTCGAGTGACGTTAATGATCGCAAAGACAGCAATTGATGAACGAAAAACAGAGATAAGAAAAATCAAGTTCACGTTGCTAATAATACCTTATCCATATTGCTTCTACTTAATTTTATGCAAAATGTATATGAAGAAGATGCTTAGCACAGCTAAGTATTGTAATATCATAAGAAATATATATAAAAATAAAAATATTAAAAAGAATAAAAATGTTTCTTGATTTAAATGTTAATTAAGTTATTTTGATATTGGTTGATTTTACATTAACCATATTACTCCAATTTCTAGTTTTATTTGTAGGTCATTGACAGTTCTCATACATTGTATATAGATCTTAATTAATGAATAAGACATTTGGTAATAAAAAATATTTTGTCTTATAAATTATCATTATGGCAGTTAATACATTACGTGTTAATTGTGCTACATATACATATATATATATATATATAGCAGCGTCATTTATTTGTATTAAATGTATTTGTTCTTCTTTTAGTTAACTCTGTCACTTTCCCATTGATATTTTATCACATCTTTAAAAATATTTTTTGGTAAAATATATTTTGTAACTATATTACGAATTATAATTGTGTGTATTTTATTAGAATAATAATTGTTAAATATCTTCAAGTGAAAGTGAAAGAGTTATATTTTTAATTTTTAAATGTTTTTTATTTGTGTTTCTTTGATTATACTTTTATATTTATTGAGACACATAAGTATATGAGATGATACGTTTAAACATTCTCTTACGAAAATAGGCCTTGCATAATTAAAATATCGTTACACATACGGTAAATGAAACATACATAATTATACGTTTATATTTAACTGGATATAATATTTTTAATATCGAAGTTTGTGATATAGAAGAATTAAATTTGATATTATGTGTAATTTGTTATTCTTAATTAGTGTAATCTACACTAATTTACGCTTTATACATCATTCTATCAAAAATTAATTTAAACCACAAAATTAGAAAATAATTCCCAAGTTTTTATATACATATATGTGTATGTTTTTTATTTAACGATGTTTTTTTATTTACTGCTTTTTAATTTAACTTTGTGTAGCAAAAATAAATACTGTATGAGATCTCGACATTCGTCATATAATCAATATCCTTATGCATATTTTTGAAAATTGTAAATAATCGAAAAACATTAATAAGATTGCGACCGAAAAATATATCAGCGTTTACGTTTGTTTTCGAATTCGTCACTCGTGCCGAACCGCACCATTGGGTTCATCGTCATCCCATCGTGTCGGTCGACAGAATATTCTACCGTTTTTGAGGCCGTTCTTGCTGTACGTTAATTTTTGTTATCATTTGTCTGGTATTTTCTCGCCAAGTCCAAGTCTCGTTCTCGCAACTAACACGATACGTGGAGCTATTTACAAAACGGAACACTTAACAACTGCGCCTGCGTTTAGTTTATTGCGAGCTAATTATCGAGCCGTCTGTTTTTGTTTCTTCATTCTAACGCAATTAATGGGCATCTGTTTATATAATACGCGCATTCTCTCATCACTAGCCTACACGTTCGCACGAACTCTCACATCACCAAATTTCAGAATTGTTACTTTTGAGGGATCTTTTTTGAGCTCTAAATTAATCATTTAACTGAAATTTCGCTTCAAGTATAAATGATGCATATCTTGAAGTCGCATGTTTGCATTCCGCTAATCAATTGTAAAACTAATAGCACTCAGAAGCAATGAATGTAACATACGACATATTCTCTTTTTTCAATTTAATTTTCATAGATCTATTTAATAAATTAAATGTATTAAAACTTTTTATATACATTTAATGTAATATTCCGGTATATATGCTATTTACATTAATATTTTTTATCAGGTTCATTTAATGACAGAAATTTTATATTTAATTTAAGAAAAAATATAAGAGATTTTTGTATTCTTTTTTTTTGTAAATATATAATATATTCCATAACACAATATTACAACGCATTCTGTTATTTGAAATTTAAAAAAAGAGATTACTTTTTTATTAGGATATTTAAATATATAGTAATGTAAATGTGATACGTGCATTTTATAATATTAAATTTTTAGTTAACTCTTGAATTAGCGTAACAAACATGCGACCCACTTTTGTACACCTTTTTTAGAGATATGATGGTAAAAGTGAGTGTCCAAACATAATCAGATACGAGTCGTAAAGATGTAAAGATTTCTTTGTATAGCTATAAATAACATTTTTCTAGAAGTAAGAAATAGAATGAAGAATTTGAGATAGGTCTTGTGACAAGGAAAATTGTTAATATTGCAAAATAACACGTATCTAATTAAATTTAAACGTAATCGTTTGAATAAAACTACAATGTATAAAAGAACAGACTGTTAAATTTATATAGAAAATAGATATAGTAGAATATAATAAAGGACACAGTATCTTTTACATAGAAGCTGAAAAAATTGTCAAAGCTTCAATTTATAATTTTATATTATCTGTATTTATATACAGGATGATTCATTTATGAATAAATTTACTCATATTAATTACTTCCTTAATCTAAATGCTTTGAATTAAGATAAAATGGTTTTGTTTTAAGAAATCTGTATTGCGTGTAATAAATCCTATCTGTATATCTATGTAATGATTCACCCTGTATATATCGGGAATTATATCAGTCGTATATATTAAAAAACCATGGGATATATATATATATATTAGAAATGCAATAAATATTGAGTATTCCTATATTCTTATTATTTGGAAGGGACAGGAGAATTAACCCAAATATTTTTTATAAATTTCTAAAGGTAAAATGTCGATAAAGGTAAAATTGACATTTAGTTCAATATTCATTAAGCTTATTAAGCTCATGATTGTGAGAATACACCTAGTAAAAAAAGTTAATATTAAATTAAAAACTGCCAACTTATATGTGAACTTTATTTTGATACTTATTTTGGCAAATAAATAGATATAATTTGTGGATATAATAAAAAAAAGAAAATATGGAAACTATAATAATGAAGAGAAATAACTGTTGATTGATATCATATATGATGAGATTTATAGAGTATCGTTGAAATTAACCATTTGAAATTTAAAATAAACAGTGTTTCTAATATTTTTCAGAAATAATTCTACTTGTTAGATTATTAATAATGAGCGTCTTTAAGAAATCAATATAACGGAAAAAATGCAATATTTAAAACGAATAATTCAAGTCAAAAGAAGTTGCATAATTTTTATCAATATATGCACGGTGAGTCTAGGCGCGAGTTCTAATAACAGTTTCTTACTCTTAAAAGTATCTAATGTTAAAGAGTAGAAAAATTATAAAAGTACGAAGATCTATAATCGTTAGTATGAGAGAGATTCCGTGCGGCCGCTTCACTACGTTCTTCTTGTCTTTTCCTAGCTTTGGAAAATATCTAATAGTATAAAATATTACTTTTAAATAAAATATTATTTTTTAATTAAAACAATTGATTACAATGTAACTTTTTACTAAAATTGATTATAAATAGCTTCTTCCAATGTTTGTGATACTATGATTAATAGAATTTTCCTTTATTTATTTTAGATTTATTATTTAAATTTTTTTTAAGATCGGGAGAGTATAGAGTCTTGTATAACGCATAATGCATCAGAAAATGAATCAATCAATCCTTCATTTTCTTTCCTTTCCATGAAAAAAAAAACAGATTTTAATTGGTTAATTTTCTTATGTTTTATGTA